CGATATGATAGTTTACATCAATGACCCAAAGAACTCTACCAGGGAACTCTTACAGCTGATTACCACCTTCAGCAAAGTGGCAGGTTACAAGATCAACTCAAGAAAGTCAGTAGCCCTACTATATACAGATGATAAAAGGGCTGAAAGAGAAATCAGAGAAACATCACCCTTTACAATTGCCACAAACAACATAAAATACCTTGGGGTAACGCTAACCAAACAAGTGAAAGACCTTTGTCTTTCGTAAGAACTTTGAATCTTTAAAGAAAGAAATTAAAGAAGCCCTCAGAAAATGGAAAGATCTCCCATGCTCTTGGATAGGTAGGATCAATGTAGTAAAAATGGCAATCCTGCCAAAAGCAATCTACAGATTCAATGCTATCCCCATTAAAATCCCAGCACAATTCTTCACAGACCTTGAAAGAACAATAATCAATTTTGTATGGAAAAACAAAAGACCCAGGATAGCCAAAACAACCCTGTTCAACAAGGCAACGTCCGGAGGCATCACCATCCCTGACCTCAAGCTCTATTATAGAGCTATAGTCCTGAAAACAGCTTGGTATTGGCACAAAAATAGACAGGCAGACCAATGGAATCGAATTGAAAATCCGGGTATTAACCCACACACGTACGAACATCTGATCTTTGACAAAGAAGCTAAAAATATACAATGGAATAAAGAAAGCATCTTCAACAAATGGTGCTGGCATAATTGAAGACTGGCATGTAGAAAAATGCGGATCGATCCATGTTTATCGCCATGCACAAAACTTAAGTCCAAATGGATCAAAGACCTCAACATAAATCCAGCCACACTGAACCTCTTAGAAGAGAAAGTGGGTGGTACCCTTGAACAAATTGGTACAGGAGACAGCTTCCTGAACATAACACCAGTAGCACAGACAGTGAGATCAACAATTAATAAATGGGACCTACTGAAACTGAGAAGCTTCTGTAGGGCAAAGGACACAGTCAGCAAGACAAAAAGGCAGCCCACAGAATGGGAAAAAATATTCACTAATCCCACATCTGACAGAGGGTTGATCTCCAAAATTTACAAAGAACTCAAGAAGCAAGTCTCCAAAACAGCAAAGGACCCAATTAAGAAGTGGGCTGCAGAACTAAATAGAGAGTTTTCAATAGAGGAGTCTAAAATGGCTGAGAGGCACTTGAGAAAGTGCTCAACATCCTTAGCCATCCGGGAAATGCAAATCAAAGCAACTCTGAGATACCATCTCACTCCTGTCAGAATGGCTAAAATCAAAAACACCAATGACAATTTATGCTGGAGAGGATGTGGTGAAAGGGGGACACTCCTCCATTGCTGGTGGGAGTGCCAACTGGTTCAGCCACTTTGGAAAGCACTATGGAGATTCCTCAGAAAAATGGGAATAAACCTACCACAAGACCCAGCAACTGCACTCTTAGGCATATATCCAAAAGATGCCCATTCATATAACAAAGATGTCTGTTCCACTATGTTCATAGCAGCTTTATTTGTAATAGCCAGAACTTGGAAGCAACCTAGATGTCCCTCACCCGAAGAATGGATAGAGAAAATGTGGTACATCTACACAATGGAGTACTATTCAGCAGAAAAAATAATGGAATCATGAGATTCGCAGGCAAATGGATGACACTAGAAGAAACCATCCTGAGTGAGGTAACCCAGTCACAAAAAGAGAAACATGGCATGTACTCTCTCATATATGGATTTTAGACATAGATCTGGGGAGTGCCAGCCTACAATCCTATTGCCAGAGAGTCTGGGAAACAGAAACTTCATTTACTGGCTGGTTAAGTACTGAGCTGAACTCAAGAAAGCCAGTATCAGAGAGGGAGGACTGATGATCAAAGGGATTAAGACTGGGCTGGTTGAACCCCCAGAAACAGCTGGCCAGACAAAGGTTAACTCTTGAATCCCAGGCATCAGCCTGGGAATCCAGCATGGGACTGATCAAGACCCCTGAATCTGGGTGTCAGTGAGGAGGCCTAGGTAATCTATTGAGCCTTGGACAGCAGATCAGTACCCATCCCAAGTATACACACGGACTCTGGACTCCCATAGAACAATGTGAGGTGCACTCTCACCCTGAACTCTTGGGGAAGGGTCTAGGCCCTGCCCTATATGAAATGACAGACTATGGACACCCCCATGGAGGGCCTCACCCTCCCTGGGGGAATGAGGGGATAACGGGGGGGGGTGATGGGGGGGAGGGCACGGGAGGAGGGGAGGGAAAGGGAGAGGGACCTCGTACTGACTTGTGAAGCAACCTTGTTTCTTATCTAAATTTAAAATGGAAAATAAAAAAAATTAATAAAAAAAATAAAGCATGTAGTTCCTCAAAAAAAAATCTTAACCAACTTTTGTTATCAGTTTGAGTATTTGGACTGTTTAGAGAGCTAAGTCTAATATTTGTTAGACTCTTTAAATTTTGTAGTAATATTTGAGTTCTAACAATAAATGTACTTACTGTGTTACTGTTTGTTGAATTATTTTGGTATTGTTTTTATAACTGACCTTGCTATTAAAGGAAATTTGAAGTAATTTACAGTTAGGAAATATTTAATTCAAAACAACAACATGGTTTAAGCCACAGAAACAGCTGACCTGAACAAGAAGGAGCTCTTGGACCCCAGACTAATGCCTGGGAGGACAGCATGGGACTGATCCAGACCCCCTGAATGTGGGTGTCAGTGAGGAGGCCTAGGCAATATATGGAGCCTTGGGTAGTAGATCAATATTTATCCCTGGCATACAAATGGACTTTGGGCTCCCATCCCAGAATGAGGGATTCTGTCTCAGCCTGGACACATGGGGGAGGGCCTAGCCCCAGCCCTGGATGAAATGACAGACACTGGAGATCCCCCATGGAGGGCCTCATCCTCTCTGGGAATCTGAGTAGGGATTGGGAGGGGGCTGGGGGGCTGGTGAAGGGGGTGGGGGTGGAGGGGAGGAAGAGGGAGCTGGGATTGACATGTGAAGCAAGCTTGTTTCCAATTTGAATTAAAAAAAGAAAAGAAAGAAAAGAAAACTTAGACTAAGACCTATTGACAGGATTACTACACATACTTGAAAATATTTGCAATACTGTCTTTGTAAATACTACCTTCAAACTGTTTAAAGAAAAATTTTTTTTACCTCAAAGGAGATGATTTGTTAGGTAAGATTACATAGTTGACTGGGAGCTTGAAAATAGCCTTTTATATAATAGTTTGACATGAAATCAAATAATTGAGTTTTTAAAACAAGATGCATGATCTGTGAATGACACCTTGACAAGATATTTTATAGGCGACTGAAAGTAAAATCAGGAGAAAGGAAGTGGGACTTCTTTAGTTGCTAGCGCTGAGGGAGGCTCCTTGCAATACTACTGCTTAATCCCTTATCAGTGTTTGGACAAACTACTGAACTACCCAGCACTCTGGAGACTTCCATACTTAGAAGCACAGTTCTGGTGTCTGCTGGATTCAGATGTTGGAGATAAGCCAAGAGGCCCAGAGCTGACTGAAAGAAGCATGAGAGCTTGTCTTTCCCATTTCCTTTGCTGCTCTCTCTTGGGCTTCACTGAGGATGCTTTAACGCTGCAGATAAAGGGTGTCAAGACTTGACAAGTGTGCCTAGGGCATTGTGCTCTCAGTCCATAGACATGCTTAAGCCAGTCAGAAAATGCATGACTGTTCCTTGTCAGACCTAGAACTGGCATTTCTGAGTAGGACAGCCACATCAGGAAAGGCAGCAGCTGTGGCCAGAGGAGGGTTCTGTTTCTCTTGTACTTTGTTTTCTTGAGAGGGCTCTTTGATCCTCAGATTTGATTTGATTTTTTTCAAAGTAACTTCATTTAAATTTGCTCATGTTCAGAAGTCCCCTGCAAAGCTTTACTCCGGGAACCCACGCCCAATAAATTCCAGGGACACAAACAACAGCTTTAATAAATGGAACTGGGCCTCTAAACCCCATGTTCCTATTGTGTGAGACCAGTAATTAATAACAATTACTTACTAATTATTAATTACTACTTTCAAATCAGTAACTTTATCTTTGACTAGCAAATGTTCCTTGATAGTATTAAGGGCAACTTGCGTAACTGTCAGATTTGGGTGATTCAGTGTCAAAGTTATCTATTCCCGTTTACATCCTTGTTGTTGTACTTTAGATATGCCACCATCGGGTGGGTCACAAGTTTGCCCATAGAAGATTGATAAGCATAGATACAAAAAATTATATATGGATATTAATACAGTAGTACATTTATGAATAGAAATTTTAAAACATACATATTATAATATTTAATTGTATTTTTGAAAATGTTTTTGTAAATGAGGTAACTCATCTTTGTGCTGTATAAATATTTAGAAGTAGAGAAAAAGTAAAATTTAAACTTCATCCCATCATCACACATTACTATTACTATTAACATTTGTTTTCTTTTCTTCAAGACTTTTTATGTACACTTTCTATGTATTTTACTTTCGTAATGAACTGGATGTCAACAGAAATATTTAGCTGTATTAGTACTGTGTATATCGTATTATAACTTCCAAACTTTCTGTAATTGCCTCTTGACTTTTTACTTTTCCATTGGTAGAAGTCTTCCATGTACCATCATTGGCCTTTTGGTATATATGTATGGTTCTTACTTTCACAGCCATCAGGTGTATTCTCCGTTTCTGTGTGCTATCAACAGTGCCATTATAGTGTTACATCTGTGCCTTCTGTATATCCTAATGTAAGGGAACTTCCATTGTAGCTCCAAGTAATTGGATATTTAATATTTCTCCAATTACAGTATTTCTATAAAAAAATTGAACTCTGTTTCCAACTACAAATGAAAATGAATTAACAGATTTCTTGTTATTTTAATATCCTGTGGGTATTGTATAAAGTTATACATTTAGATTATATAATCATATAACATGTAAGCATTTAAGAACCTACAATATTGTGAGGTAGCATTGCATATATCATATCAAATAATTATTTTTCTTCTTTGTAGCATTGAGCATTGTATTGAAGAAATACAGTCTGAAGTAAACAAACTCTGTCCAGATGTGCAGCTGCAAACAACAAGTGACTGCTTCAAATGGCTAACTAGCTGTAATTATAATTCATCTAAGTCGCCGTTCATTCCCCAAGGAGATTTGATAAAGTTCCTCAAAATAATGGTAAAAAAATTACTTGTTTTATGGTAGAGTGGGAAGCATGAAATACAACTAGTTGAATTGTAATATGTAAACATTTATTATATTGCTAATATTATCCTGTCTGCTATAGGGTCTTTGGTTTGGGGTATGTTTTTGTCCTTTTGTTTTTGTTGTTGACTCAGTTTCTTTCACCACCAAACTCTATAACATATTTTTAAAACTATTTTTAGCACCAAAGTAAGTTGTGTGGAAATTGAGGTTAAAAATCCTCCTTTCTGAGTGACAACTGATCCGCAGTTGTCTCCCAAGAGTTCACCCTCATTAGAGTTTGTGCTCTTTCCCAGGGCTAATTTTCCCTGTGCTCAAAGCAAAGACAGTAAGAACCCCTTAGTTGTATCTATGAAGTTACCTTATCGCTCATCCTCTCATTCCGAACTTACAAGAATACCTACTTTCGTTTTCTTTTATTTCAGTGGAAGCAGAAATGTGTGCAAGACCACTGTTAATTGTTGATCATTTTTTATTGCTGGCCATCTACTTGAAAGAAGTTTTTCGTTAACTTCCAACAAGAATAGTTACTATTATACACACATCTATGATGCTAGCGAGGTCTCGAAAACAGATTCTCATAGAAACAGCACAATTTTTAGGAAGCAGAATTTCTTTAGCTATGGTTTTAATTTAATTGAGTAGGGAGAAAAGGACTGTTTTTTGTTCTGACATCAAAAACACTGACCAAAGCAGATGTGGAAAATATCTTGAGGTTTAGGTGGTTTAGGATGACAGAATCAGATGAAAATAGTTTTGTCTGTTCTTATTATTACAGTTGTCTCTTTCATGCTTATGAAGTAATACAAGGAAGATAAATTAGGAAGACTGTGTGTCCTGAAGCCTTAACCTTTAAACAAATTCCTCTCACACATTATCTCATAAAGGTGGAGCCTTGAAGAATAAATATGAGTGTAGTTATTCCTTTCATTTCTGTTAAGAGCCATGTGTATTGTATTTCACTAATGTTGGTGTCCTGATGCTTTCTCAGCTAATTAAAAGCAAAGGATTTCAATTGTCTTACTCTATCACACATAAGTCATTCTCTAGTCACTGCAAAGGCCACCTTAGTTTTGCTCAAACTCAGGTTTTCTCTTGTTTTTTGTTTAATTGATCATGTTGTTTTTGAGGAAATAACAATGTTATTAAAACAAAGTCAAGTTAAAATAACTATCAATTTTTACATGTTAATTGTGTCAGTCTTGATGGCATTTTCATGTCTTTTATTCTACAAAGAATTATTAATTAGGTAAGAAACTGGTTCTTACTCTAATAGTTACACTAATGTTATTTTTAAATTTTAAGTAATCATACAAACATATGTTTTCAACCTCTGTAGTCTATTGGTTTTTGTTTGATCAAATATTTACAATTATTAGCTGGCTTAAGAGAAACATAAAGGTGAGATGTTATAGCACATTTGATTCCTTGAACTGTCTTAGTGCGGCTGGGTCCCAGACTCTGTTAGAACATTTCCTTTCTAGAAATACATGAAAAACTGGACATTATGTGTGGTGAGAGATGTGGAGAAGGTGGAGAAGAGGAGGCTGAGTGTCTATGCTCGGTCATGTCCCTTACTCCAGAACTCACATTTCTAGCATGTCAGTATCCTTACCCAGAAATTAGACTTTTAGAGCTTTCAAGTATCAGGGTCACAGAGTTTTCCTTGTGAATAAACCAAAGAATATATGGAAAAGCTTTTTATATAATAAAATATGGATATTTGCCATAATTATTAAAATAGCACATTAAATGTGCATTGTAGTACTTAGAGTGAATGAGAGCCAATTCCAGGACTTTATCTAGTTGTTCAAGTTTGAATTGCATATACTACCTGTGCTATCCTTATCAATAAGACATTTCAAAGCCGGCCTAATTTTTATGTCCCTAAAGCCTTGCTTCCATTTCTTTCTAATGAGCTTGTTTTTCCTCACAGAATATGAACTAATTTCAGTATTGACTGAAATGGATGTAATTAGGGAAGTCATCATGTATAGAGAATGTGTGTGCAATTCGGAGGCCAAAAAGAAAGTAATTTTTTTTTATTATTCCTAATTACACACACCATTGTTTTCTACCAGCATAGAAAGATTCAAGGAATAATTCCCTCGCATCTTTTGGGGAGCCTTTCTGAAGATTTCTTTATCCCATTTTGAGTTAGTGATTTCTTTGGAGAGAACAGAAATATTCTCAGATTAATTTTTAAAGTAAAAATCTTTCTTAACATGGTTTTCAACAATGCATTTAAATGAAAGTTGGAATCTTCTATGTATTAAGTTTTATTTCTCAGGATGGTAGCTATTAGTAACCCCTGGGCACCAACTATATTTAATGACTTCTTTTCTAGAATTATCTTAAGGATTGTATTTTGTTTGAGGTTTTATAATAAGTATATTCACTCAGGCAGGAATTAATTGGGGCATGATCTTGATTTTGTTTTGTCTTAGGAACTCATTTTTCTCCAAAAGCTGTATATTTAGAAATGTTTAAGTTTCAGCCGGGTGGTGCACACCTTTAATCCTAGCACTCGGGAGGCAGAGACAGGCGGATCTCTGTGAGTTCGAGGCTAGGCTGGACCGACAGCCTCCAAAACAATACAGAGAAACCTTGTCTCGTAAAACCAAAAAAAAAAAAAAAAAAAAGAAAGAAATGTTTAAGTTTAAGTTTCAGCTTTGCTACAGTTCAGGTTACAGAGAATATTGAGGGCTAAAAGGTATATATCCAAAAGTATAATTTAACAGATAGCCAATCAACTGGACTTTACAAAATTAAGTTTATATAAGTTAAGACATCCTATATTGTCAACATTGATTAAATTCCAAATGCAATACAGAAATATATTGAGGAGTGTAGGACAGTCATTCTTAATTTTAATCAATTATGAAAATATGTATTTAGAAATTGTTTTGTTATACTTAGATGTAATTCCTTGTTTACTGTTGAAATTTCCTTTTATCAGAAAGGCTTATTGAATAGTGAAGAAAATCAAGAAGAAATGATCCTGGATTTACTCTGGGACCTCTCCTGTCGGAGCAGCATCTCATTCCTGTCGCCCCTAGGTGGGACCTCCTTCTGCTTCCTCTCCAGGACGTCTCTGCACTCTGTTGAAGATTACTCCTCTGTGGACGTAAAGTCTGTTTGGGATGATGTAAGATTACATCTTCGACGCTTCTTAGTGAACAGGCTAGAAAGCCATAATGAGATCAACAGCTCACAACAAAGAATAGAACTGAAGAGTCAATGTATGAAGCAGCTCCTCCTGCTCTACCCAGAACCAGACGTGCTTGTCAAGTACCAGAGCATCCAGAAGAGACAGCTGGCCAAGGTCCTACAGAACTCCCTCCCTCCCTGCAACAGAGATGCAGATTTAGAGGCGATTGCTCATGGGTACCACTGTGCAATGGCCACGTTATACGCAATGATAAAAGAGGACTTCAACATACTACGTGAAATTTTAGCTCCCTCCTCAATGGTGCAATTCATTAAAGAAACTTACCTGGATACAGTTACAGAAGAAATGGCAAAAATTCTTGAAAGTTTTTGTGAGCTGCAGTTGAAAGAACATGCTGTTCCTGGAGTTAAGACAAGCGAGAGCTGCAGCAAACGCAGAGGAACAGTACAGGCTTTGGGTTAGTGCCATTTACATTTCTGTTATTTTTACTTTAGCCTTTTGCTTCTTTAAGTTTTCGGGCTTTTCTGTTGTCAATATCTGGTGAAATCCCATGGCAAGCTTCAGCATAAACCAGAAAGTAGATGACATGAGCTTTCAGCTCATGCATTCCTTTTTCTGGAGGTGTAGTCATGGAAGTAGTGTGTCTCTTGTTGAACTGTTAGTGATACTGAACTTGGAAGTCATATATAAAAAATAAAGTTTTATTTTCAGGAATGCATAAAATGAATGACAAAAAGTATTAGCTAAAAGAAACTCACGTGTACGTGCACGTATAAATACATGTGCAAATATATGTACATCAGAAGGGAATCAACTTTATTGTGTTATATCTTCCAAAGCTAAAACAGTGTTATTAAATAACCATTGTGGAAAATTGCCTTAATTTACATTAACTAAAATTAGAAGTCAAAAAATTACATTGTAGTCAGCCAATTCTTATACATACAAATTATAAATATTAATCATAAAATATCTTTATTGCTCAGGAGTACTTTATAAATCATTATTTAAAATCTTTGTTTTATTTACAACATATACAATACAATATGGCTTAAAATTCCTAGTTTTATTCAAAATATTAAAGTATAAAAAGAGAAAATATATAACACCATAATAAACTTTCTTGTTATGGTTTTAATTTTGCACTAGTGGAGAAAAAAATCAAAGTAAAAATGTGATTGTTTTATTATCAATCATGAAACACTAAGGAATTTTCATTTCTAAAAGAGTTCCTGAACTATATTATTTAAGTGTTTGAAAATTATCCATTGGTGAATTATTTATGTGTCAGTTGACATTTTCTATATACTATATATTTTACCTATCTTTGTTAATAAGATACCAGGAAACCAAAATAATGTGAGAGATTCGTTTTCCCAAAATTGCAGTCTTTTCTTTGGATGCTAACTCACACTGTGTAACAGACAAGTCAATTAGCAGATGACAGTGACAGTGTGGTCATCGGATTCAACAGCACTGTGGGTTTGCGCACACAGTTTTGAGATCCATTTCATGCTGTGTTTGCTTTCTAAATATATTGTATATACATATTTTTAACTCCTGCCTACTTATAATGTGTTTTGTATACAAAACTTTTCTCTGGGCTAACTACAGTTTATAATGGGAGATAAGATCACCCAGTTTAAAGTATGTATAAATTGCTGATGAGACTTAGGCTGCTATAGAGACAGAGTATGTAAGCCCACTTTAATACTGGAGTTGGAAATACTTCCCACAAACTTAATTACATTGATCTGTTACCTGAACTCTCATAGTAATCACTTTGAAATGAATGCTTTCCATATGTTAGGCACTGTGCTGCGGGTGGCCTAGTCTTTCTAAACCCAATTTTACATACAAAAATAAAAACTTACGTTAACTTACTCTGGGTTGTTTGGGTTAGTCTGGATTCATATTCCCACTGAGGATTCGTATGCAGGCTTTGTGTGTGTGTGTGTGTGTGTGTGTGTGTGTGTGTTGTATAACACCTGTTTTCAACTACCACACTATTGGATTGTGTCTCAAATTATAGAATTTAATGTTTTGTCATCAATTATAGAAATTTCAAACATTCTTGGTCAGGTGGGCCACCTGAAAATAGTTTAGTCCAGCTTTATTGACTGTGTGTCAAATGATTCATTTAGCAGAACCCATATTTAAGTTTCTGAGCCAGACACTGAGTTAGTAGGAAAACAAATGAGTCGTGACTACCACATGAGAAACACTCAGTAGCTCAACAGACCTGTCATGGTTTTGTTTCTTCCCAGAACACAATTGTTTTGATCCAATGACAAAATGCTGTTTATTAACAAATTATAACTTTAAGAAGCAATAATTTAATTCCTTTTGGGATGAAATCTGGATTGGCCGAGTGGGAAAGTATTATCCTTAATATATTTATGACTATAGAAAGAGCATTTCTTATTTCAAAATTTACTGGTTCACATAGGGACTTATATTATCTTACTTAATTCTAGCCACCTGACAAGGTTGTTGCCATTAGTATCTCCATTAAACAATGGGAACACTGAATGGAGAGTCTGAGTAATAGCCTCAAGGTCACAAGTGAACTCAGTCAGATCAATGTCTGTGTGACTTCAGATCCCTTACACTGTGACCACACTCTTCTGACTACACCCATTGAAGAACGTGCCTCAGTTGTCTGTGTTCTCGTTGTCAGTGTGGTGACTGTTTTACTCTGCTCCACTCTTCTCTGAAAAGAACACAACTGCAGTCTGAAATTCTTTTGTTTTCTTTCCTCTTTTGCAATCTATTACTGTTTCCCGAGCTGTGTGTGTACGTCATCTACACAAATACCTCCAGGTCCTTTCTGAGCTAAGACGGTTTGGACCTACTGAGTTTCTAACTGCCTCTGATTTTATGTTGTGATTGGACATTCTTCCCACCGTAGGCTGTGAATCCTGTCTATTACTTGACCATTAAAGAAATGATTGCTGCTTGTCATGATGTGTAAGACTCTACTCACGTGAGTTCATTTAATCTCTTGAACAGTTTTTCATATTTTATATGGGGAAGCTGAGGCCAGGAGAGGAAATATTCTCACAGCTACACTGCTACTAAGTCACAGGAAGGACCTTCCTTGGTTGTATAGTGACGCCCTCTCCCCCTCCCCCCTCCCTTTCACCCCTCCCCCTCCCTCCCTCCCCCTCCATTTCCCCCTCCCCCCTCTTCCACTTCCCCCTTCCTCCCCCTCCCCTCCCCCTCCCCCTTCCTCCCCTGTCCCCCTTCCCCCTTTCCTCCCCCCCTTTTTTTTCTGTTTTTTCAGTACTGGAGATAAACTCAGGTCTTTGCACGTGTTAGGCAAATATGAGGAACATATCAGGCCCTGGTGTATTACCCTGACATGCCACAAACCCATTTGTCAGAAACAGCATGAAACGCTTTAACTCTTACTGTAAAAAAAAACTTATTTGGTAAACACGTAATATTTTGTCTTTATTTTCCCATTCCTGGTTCTGTATACTACTCAGCAAATATTCTTGCTTTTCCTTTTTATTGGTAATGATTGCTAGCTGACTTAGGATTGGCTTTCGCCTCAGAGCTGATGAGGTGTGGTCTCTGCTGTGCTTGCTTAGTTGGACTTTCTCGCAGTAGAGCTCATGGAGGCCGCGGAGAGTGATATCTGGCTGTAAGCAACTCAGGTGCCCGCGCGCACGCGTGTACACACACACACATGTATATACATCCACCTATGTATGCATGTCTCTTTTATATTCACACAGATTTGACCATTTCCTTCGAGCATCTGTAGGTACATTTGATATCTGATGTTAATATAAACGTTTTAGAATATTTTCAAGTTAGTGATCTTTTCTAGAAAAAAATATTTTCTGGAGTGTAGGGAGAGATCTTATGTACCTGTAGCACTGACCACGCCAGTTTGGACGCGGGGATAAAGAGCTGGGGGAAAGAGATGTGCTCTCTCTTGGGGTTCGGGTCGGGTCTCGGAGAGTTCTGACCTTGAGTTCTCCCTAATAAAATGCCATATGACATCCCTATCCTGTCTAGGCTAATCCTCCTCAATACTGAAATCTGTTACTTTGTTATTATGATCGCTGTTACTAAATAGCAACACTCCATAGCCCAGGCAGGACCTGAACTTCCATGTGTCCGCAGCTTACCTGCCTTCCTAGTATGGATAGGAGGCCTTTTTCCGTTGTGTAGTGTGCCTTGCTGTTCTGTGTGTGTGTGTGTTTTTTTTTTTTTTTTTGGTTTTTACGAGACAGGGTTTCTCTGTATTGTTGGGGCTCCATTTTTGCAACACTGGAGAGTTAGCTCTGTCACTGAGTCAAATGCCTTGCCCACGCTTCCCGAGGAGCTCATGAACCACGACTTTTCCCATAGCCTTATTGTTATTTGTACTTTTATTGTTCCTCCTCTCATATTGTGAGGAAAGTATTATTATTTTTATTTACTTTTCAAGACAGGGTGTCTTTGTTTATCTCTGGCTGTGCTGGAACTCACTTTGTATTCTGGGCTGGCCTCGAACCCCAAGAGGTCTGCCTGCCTCTGCCTCATGAGTGCTGGGATGAAAGGTGTGCACCACCACCACCCGGCAAGTGTTATTTCTTCAATGTTGGGCATACTATTTTCTGTTTTCATTGAAAGGCCTGAAGACCATGATGAGCAGACTCAGGAAGCCTGAGATTTGCAGTTAGCATCTAGCTTATAACTAGATTGTTTCTTGTAGGTCAGATCTTGTTTACATGTGTTCATATTTGATCCCGGCTTAGGAGAATCATTTCTATGTCTAAGTTTGTGATTACTGAGGAAATGAATTTTAATTTTAAAATTTTATTATTCCCTTTGTGTTTAAAAGGACTATTTTAAATATTTGGGGAACATAGTTGTTTATGAGTAGTATATTTCAGTTCAATTAATGCTCTATATTTTAATAATGAAACATGCAACTAGAGTGGAAGTCTAGAATAAATGTTGTAACTCCTTCCATTTTTTTATCAAAGTTTTCCATTTACTTTACATACTAACCATGGCTTCCCCTCCCTCCTCTCCTCCTATTCCCTACCCTCCTTCCATCTACCCCACCATCCTCTCTTCTTCTGTCTCTGTTTAGGAAGGGGCAGGCCTCCCACAGGAGGAGTCAACGAAGCATGGCATGTCAGTTCAGGCCATACCAAGCTGCTCGCCCTGCATCTAGGCCATACCAAGCGTGGGGAATAGGTTCACAACATCCATCGAGAATGCCAGGGACAGGTGCTGGTCCCATAGCTACAAAGGCTGGTTCCAAACCACTGTCCCCAGGTGTTTAGTACAATTGAAGGTGTGGAGCAAGTAAGCCTCACCCAGTCCCGCCCCAGAAAGCCAGGTGAGTGGCCTATGCCTATAATTCTAAACCCCAGAAGGCCGAGGCCAGTCTGAGATGCATTACATAGCAAGACTCTTTCAAAAAGCAAACCAAAACCAGTAGGGCCGATC